TGTAAAAAAAGATTTCGTTCATTATAATGGCTACCATTAATCCTATTCGATGCGAAATGGTTTCTAATTGAGTTTAGAGAACCGTAATTTTAACCATGAAGAAGGGTACACAAAAGTTTAAAGCAAATAACCATGGTGATAATCTATTTATTAAATATACAACTGAGTATTAGGGACTGAGTCCTGTTGCATATTACTGAATGTATCTTTAAAATTTTAATGACTGTAAGCCTTCAGTTTGTTTGGTGTGGGAGGGTCAAGAATGATTTGTATTTTGTACGTATTTGCACTTCTCACTTAAAATTTGGAATTACACCAGTATGTGACCCATTTTACTTTCGAGCAGCATGTAACCTGTCTGTATTTTCCAGCATTTCAAGGTTTAATTTTAGATTCACTAAAATTCGAAATCTCATTCAGGTCTACTATATTTACCTGCTTTCACAGAAGTCAGCGGACAAAAATAATCTCCAAACGTTTTATTCTACTCAGTTTAGTCGATAACGGACAAAATGTTTTAAAGAGCATCCAGATCAACTTTGAATATGATAATGGAGTCTCCCACGAGTGTATAAGATATCAAAGTGTTTGTAAATCTCTAGAAATGTACAATATTTTATGTTGATGAAGTTCTGTTCTCTGAGCTAGATGGTTTGGTCGTGGAGCTTTCATCGTTCTTCTGAACGACATCATCAGCACAAACTTCAGATAGAAGTGAAGTGTTCGAATTTCTCCATATGCGTCTCACAGCTTTTTTTGTACACCTTGATATTGATTGGTCCTTATTCACCTTAAGTTTGTTTACTTCTTTGTTTTGGTCGAGCCTTCCATCGGTTTGATTTCCGTTCCTATGTTTGTGCATAATTTTCCTGATTGGTTGATAAATTGGATCAATTTCAATGTGCTTGTTGATTGCTGATTGACCTGAGTGTCAGGCTTCTAAAAGTCCTCTGGTGTTTTTGGAATTCCCTCTGTCCAAGATTTCCACATTTTTCCAATCAAATGAGTGTCCGCAGTTGTCCACGTGTATTGATATAAGTGAGGAAGTATCACGGCGTTTGATTGCTAATTGATGTTCATGTAGGCGAAGATGAAGAGGGCGTCCTCTGTAGTGTTTTTCGCAGTTGCACAATTTATTTTGTAGATGATGTTTGATTTGTCTTCTTTTGTTATTTAATCCTTTGGTTTGCATAGGATTGATTGTAGTGATTTTATCGGTTTGTGTGCCACACCTATCCCGAAGGTTTTCAGCAGTCGTCGCGGTTTCTCATACGCCTTTTATGTACGGCAGGGCGATCCTTTTGTTGATTTCTGTGCTTGACTTGGGTTCTGATGCTGCGTGCGGCTGGTATTTTTTTATGTTGATTGGGTAGCCATTCTTTTGAAATACATCTTTCAGGTATTTCTCTTCATTTTCTCGTGCCACCAGTGTATAGCTGGGAAAAACCACGTGATTCTGAGAAATCAAAAATAACTCACGATTTCACGGAATAACATACAGCAGAAAGAAATCAGTCTGAAAGACTACTGCAGATATAAATTCAAGCTCAGTTAGAAGGCAAATACATACATGTCACTAATTGTTTAGTCTTCAGTAGACGAATACACTTTTTAATAAATTGGTAGATAAGCTGACCTAGTCGTTCTGTTACATAATACATGATGCTTAAAAATAAGACTCGAAACATATAAGATACAGAATTTCAGTACAACAATATCAAAGCGTATGCTACCATAAATGTGTTGATCAGAATATTTAAGCAACAAATATTCAACAAAATGACATTTTAGCTACGGAGATTACTTTTTGACGATTTTACTCACTAAAGTTGTGGAGTCGTATTAATAATTATTCCTTGATATATGGTGGTTTACAACAGAAACAGAGGGCTGTTGGATCATTATAAGTACCAAAAAGCCAACTACGAGTCAAACTTACGTAAAGACTATACACTTGACAATTGTAAGGAAGATGTATTCGGAAATGGATGCATATCAATTTATAAAGTGAGATATCGGGATAATTGTCGCTTGAAATATGTGAGAAGATAATGGATAGGAAATGAACACGTGTGGTGGAATAACTAATAAGAGAGGTTGTTAGGACCATGGTGAACTGACAGACTGGATATTTCACTTCTGTAGATCAGGCTTGAGCTAACGGATCACCAAAACTTCATCTATGAACAAGTTTTTTTCATTCGATTTTCCTTCGAATCACTTCACATTTGTAACCCTAGCTCTATCTTCAACAGCTACAAAAATCTGTACACGACACAACACGGGTATAATTAGACAATATCCGACAAAAACATGGAATATTGGATTTTCCAAAAGATTCACTGACAGAAACTTGAAGTTAAAATACCTGTATGAAAGAACCCCTGAAGTACCAACGATACTGTTCATTAACATTGATTTTGAAGCAAATACAGCCACAGCAATTTTATAAACCTGATTGTGTAAATCCCTGAAAATTTTTATCCAGCTGAGCTAAGAATTGTTTTCCAGAAGATATCTGGCTGAATTTTTCGAGGGCCAACCGCTGTTATCTCCTAAAATTGGCACACAAGTATCGAGAATTTACGTCATTTCACCAACCTACTTCCAGCGCAAATTACCGAGGTTATCGGATAAGACAAATCTGGTGTCACGAAAAACCTCATGCATCGATACAAAGCCTATAAATTGATGTTAGGAAAATCTCAAACATAATCAACTACCTGCTACTTGAAAAACCCTTCATCTAATAAGTGAATTGAGAACCAGTTGTATTATTCTCACCGAAATAACCGATGTCTTTATATTAATATAATAGTCACACTACTATATAGAAATGAGCAAATGAAATCTTTCGGGTAACGGTATGATTACTTATCCGTCATTAGAAACAGCTACTTTTCCTACACACGTACATAGTGAATGACCACGCTGAGCAGTTAGTAAGGAAACACAAAGATGTAGTCACACATCTTCCTGAATGATTATTTCGGAATGTCGTTGACATCAGTTGGATATACTCCAATAACGCTTTGCGTCATAACAAATCAATCACAGATGAACGCAATTTAGAACAAACGGGAAGTTTCCTTAGCAGTCAAGTGAATAGTAGAAGTCAGATTTGACTGATCAGATAGATATTCTGAATACTCAAAGCCACAATTCGTCAGTAACCAGTCCAGTTCACGATCACTTATTTGGGCTGCTTCGTTTTTATATACGGTCTTCGCCTTATCTGTAACTAACTTAGAATGATTCTAACGAAAATTCAAAGCTTTTGGGTGCTCTCCGTTTTGTCTAGATCTCAAGTACCCGTAAACTACTAGTAACAGTATTCAATTCCGAGAATCATCGAAACCGTTATTACTGATAAAGACTCAGATAATTACAGTTAAACAATCAACAAAGAGCACGCGTCAGATGTCCCTTGGCCCAAGTCCCAAATCATGTGTTCATGTAGATGGAGATAACCCAGCAGTAACTACAATGAAAAAGACTAAGCATTGAGAAAATTGTTTAAAAACATAGGACGGATAGGCATGTACGAACCGACACTAGAATTCAAGATGAATGGTAAGTGCATCTGCAACACTGTGAACGACTCGCTCATATCTCCCAGTCTCTAACCTCTGACCTATCGGACTTCTATTAGGCAATCAGCTCCACCAACACCGCTCAACCCATCGGTCACTGACTTAGAAAACTGATAGATAGTCATAGTTCGACCGCCCCTAGCATCCCTTCAACTAGCACGCCGCAGCAGACAGTGGTTAGACAAACATAGCACACCGCAATGGACACGATTAATTAAGATCCACATCCTCATTAACCGATTTGGCAGCTGTCTCAACTTCTGTCAAACTACCCAATAACCAATGTTTGGATCATGTATAGGATGCCAGCTAAAAGTAGTAATCCATTTGGTCGGGATATAATTACACTTGCTCAATCACATAAACTTAAGCAGTGTGTTCAATGCCAAAGACCTCATTTGAAGCAATCCAGTAAATGTACCGTTACTCGAGCTTCCACATAAATATTGATCATACAAAATCGTGGCACGTGATCTTATGTCAAATAGCACCAATTTTGGTTGGGCAGGTTCAGGATAAGATCCCGAGCTGTATCATAATGGTTCCTAAAGTTACATGTTCGCCTGAATAATTTTATTTATCCCACACACGTTATGTATACTGCAGAAAGCACAAAAACCCTTCGGAAGTCACCAGACTGAACAGTACCACTATTTCTACTAGGTAAGAGAGGGGAGCTACCAGTCTAATGAGACAAGTGAATCGTTTACACCAGCAGCTTCGTTAGTTTACATGTTATTCAGTCAGCAAACCATTGATCATACGCATCTAAATGACTAGCTTTTTTCTCGGAATAGCATACGTAAAACGAGAGGGTAGAAATTGTCTATTCCTACAACGACAATTTACAGCATAGGAGTAGCAAACATTGCAACTCTACCTTTTAGAAGTCAATGTGCAGAGCATAATGACAAAGGTATATCTTGACCAGATATCAATGAAATAAGAAAGCAAACTAATTGGTACCACCAATCTTAGACGCCCGTAAAAAGCAAAGCTACAGATTGCAGGAATAATAATGACAGAACGTCTGCCATCTACCAATTTAACAGACCAAAATGTGGCAGCTGTGTGGAAAACCTTGAAAGAAATGTTCACATTGACTAGAATTCTTTCGACTATTTGGATTTTGAAGACTGCCCAATTCGACGTTGTAAATATGTGTAGGCAAGATTCTTGGAAAATAACCAAATCTAGGGATTACCTTAGTTATTATACTGTCTTATTATTAGAACAGAGGGATTATCATTGACGATAACCTACAGACAAATCGTAACTCAATGACAACCTGCTTGTTAGCCGGATTTATACTATACATTTGAGTTTTCCGTAGCAATAAGCTATTTACACATGTTAAGAAAAATGACAGTTGTGTTCCGGCACTTATACATTTATTACATACAACGATTAGTTCTCCTCTTCATCGTCTGTATCTTCATTTTCGAAGTTGAAGAACCGAAATTCATAAGAATCCTTTGATTTCGCTACCACGCGAAGGAAATCTCGCAGTTTGTGACGTTTGAGAAATTTCTTTGTCAGATACTTAAGATACCTGAAGATATAAATTATCAAGTCTCACAACTCACCTTTTCGAAAAAGGGATGTTTGCGGTGACATGTATGGTTGATTTGTCACGTTCAATGTGAACATCTTTCCCAAGATTATTAAGCTTATTATCTACTTTTATGTGTTCCTTTAAATATTTTTCCTGAAAGATTGAAATTCACAGAAGTCATATTGACATACAAGTAAACTAGGGCTAACTATATCTTCATCAATAACTCCGGGTGAAATGCATATACTGAACTTGAGGACTTGCTTTTTCTTTGAGGCTGGTTTATGCGTCTTCGGTTTGGGAACGGACTATAGAACATAAATAAAATAACACACAGTACTTTTGCAACCATGCTGAAACCTGCAATTGCCCGCCGTAGTGAAAGAAACTGTTCGGCCGCCAAAACAGTACAAACTGAAGTAACCAAACTTCAAACTTCAGTTTTCAGGTTCTTGTTTTAATGTCGAGTTAGGGATGAAATTCGAAAATCCTTTGCTAGTAAGATAAGTTAGGCGTCTATGTTATACTCTTGAAGTCTCAAAAAGCACTATGTGTAGAGCTGCTCAATTTTTTCGGGCGCGCATTGAAAATTGATTTATCTACTTTTACAAAATGTCTAACTCACATGTTAAACAAGGACTTACAGCTTGAACATATCTTCCCAGCTTATATCTCATTCTGGTCGTTTATTCTGCAGTGAACGTGTTCGATTACAAGTTGGTAATTATTTATCCTTGAAATTTTAGCCGCATCAGCACAAAAGTGAACATTTTTCTTATGGTTAGGACTCATTTTTACATAAAATGTCATTGTGAGATGGTATCAAGGGCTCTGACGCCTCATCTGACTATTTGCGTTTGCATGTCTGATGTAAATGTTGACAAATGTTGCTCCATTGATGGACATTGATTGTAGTTAGAGGAACACACAATAGCGTGTACGTCTACCTAGAGTGCATGTATATCTGCATTCATATTTGAGCGTAATCAACATCATAATCACACAACCTATGAAGTGCGAGGAACCTAGAAAAGTGACTGAATGCAATTCACTGAATTTGTATTTTACTCTTGGTGAGGGCGATAACTTCAATCAGCCCGTGTTTGTGGGGACAGAACATTTTGTATGTATCAGGCTCCTCATGATTGAGAATAAGTCAATCAATCTGTGATATAGATTGTCTTCCTACGCTCACCACTAAGACTCATGTTTCCAATATTTTGCTGGATTAGCTATTCTACTAAGACAACCTATAACATGCTAACTCGGACTTTTACACTAGGATTGTGTGGCTGGCATCGGACAAACAAAAAAAGGAAAAAAAGTTAGACAACAAAAGATATAGTCATTAGTATTCTTAACACTTCACCCTCTATATACACACCCTTCTAATATACCGCTTCCCTTGTACCAACCTTGACTTCCTTTCATCTGAGCTTACTCCAACTTGTTAAACATCACAACTCATTGTTCTTTATTAGTACATTCTCTAATATGGAGCCTCTGACTTCATTTCACTCTAACAAGACATAATATGAATTTATTCTGATTTATTACACCTCTGTCCGTTCTACTACACAATCTTAAGCAACGTTTGGTGTTCATATCCAAGTGCCTTGCTGCTCTTTTTTTCTCTTTTTTCTTCTTCAGAATCTTGCTCTGAGAGCACAGCTATGAAACTTCTGACGTTTGGAACAAACTTGAAGTACGCGTCCCCTCAAGGTCATAGTTTACAGCAAGAGCTCTACGACTTCACTTTATAACAACTATAAACTTAATAAGTTGGGAAACATTTTGTGAACCAACAAATGTTGTAATTTACAGATCATGCCTGTAAAAACGGTGTGTACCTGCACATGCAGAAATATATTATTATTATTATTTTGTCGGACGCCTGAAGTAAAGTGTTTAATACGCTTTAGCAGAGGCCCGGAAACTATAGTATTTTAGAGCTTCATCGGGAGTTCATCATGATGCATAAAGCAAAAGGCTTTACTGAAATCAATGTGGATAGTATCTGATGGTTCTCCATGGATGGATTTTGATTTTTTGCTGTAGCTACATCCGACTTGTTGTGATTGATGTCTCTATATTTGTTCATAAATCTATATGGATGACAGTTATTTCATAGATACTTTGTAATGTTCATAACTTTATCCTCTACTATGTAAAATAGTGTTTCGTACAATGTTTTGTTGTAACTGATTGGCTGAAGTTTACTAAACGTTCGGAATGAACAGTGTAGGTATGCAAGCACACAAAATGTGTGACAAGGAAGAAGTTTCTAATTACCTATCAGTTTCCTTACACACTGCAATAGCGAAGAAAACGAAAATTCAGCAAAGAATATACTCGAGAAAATGTGCCCCAATGACTCTCTTGGGACTGTATGAAAGCAGTGAAATTTCCAGGCAAATCGTGTTGTTAAACATTCGGATACTTAGGGAAAAATGACTTTCCGTTGCTTTACGGTACCCCTGTTTTTACAGTAGTCAGCAGAGCTAACCATCAAACTCGTTGCCTGAATCTAAAGTCAACGAGTAACTGTAGGCGATTAATCAGGACTGCTCGATGCAGAAATCACCGGCCACCGACCTTTAGTACACGTGACTCGATTATTACGTAATGTAAAATCGTCCAATGACATCAAAATTGCATTACTCTGGTGTACGGAAGTAAAACTGAGATATCAAACTGTATTACATCATTCAGAATCCTCTTCGTACTAATAAATCGCTAAGGTGTGAAATGTTCAATTTTTAAAAATTTACATGTTTATTCACGCTTTGTTCAGCATATGGGTTTTACAATTTTTGCCTTGATGGATTTGGACAACAGCATCACCAGATAATAACTGCCAAATATTTCACAAACGCTTGAGTAAAGGGTAAATCGTTCTAGTATTTGACCAATACAACATTCACGATCTTTAGTAAATATCCCGTCGTGAAGGTCTAGAAATTCCAGTCATATATGAACTACAGGAAAATCTTTTTGAAACTGAGTTCACAGGTAATTAATAAACCCCACTGGGCACTGAAATCGAAGTTATTATTTTTACAGGGTTTTTAAACTGAAATCGAATGGTCAGGAATCATGGCCTTATTTAGGCACGGCACATGTGGAACTCTTCTGCTCCTTCCGGATGGCAATCTTATTAGCCTCACACTCATCTGTCTCAGTATAAGTCCGAATATCGTGTTCCCTCATAGCTATCTTAGTCCTATGCTTTATTTGCACTCTATATTATATCTAAAGTTTGTTGATAACAGCATCATCTAAGTACTTCGTAAAAATAACGCCAACGGCAAGCTGATTATTCAATAGTCTGAACCCAATTGTGGATACGTCTCAACACTCCTCACTACCCTATCAACGACATTCCCGAAATAATGGAAGTATTTCTCAAATGATACAAGAGTGATCTCCACCCAAGAAAAAGGTCTAATACATATAATCCGTTTTTCTAGCTGCATCATAATTTGTAGCTTTTCTTGTTTACATCTACCACTGTGCCCAATGTTCTGGCATCCCATTTTCAGTCCTATTCTTACATGTGCGTTTTCCACTAATTATTTAAACAAGTCGTCAGTGTATAACCGTCTAAAGAGACCGTCTCAGTCGTTGGTAGCTTTTATCAAAAATACTTAGGGAAGGTGTGCTAACAATGTATATATATATGTTACAATAACGATCAATCAGTCGGAGTTTATGCGGTGTAAAAAGACTTGTGCTCGTAGAAAGTGAGCATCGCAGAGTATTCAAACGTCATTAGTTGCTTGTACTTGATCGAGAGCCTTTACCTAGTGACCCTTTCGAAGGAATGAACGATGCAAAACTCGAAAACTGACAAATTATTTGATTTGAAAATTTGCTTACTACAAAGTCCTTCAATACGTATGTTTATGTATCAATTCACTTTGCACCTCTTTTTTAGTTCAGTAGGTACGGTAATTCCCAGAGATCCGTTATTTTTTTACAAAAACGTGAAATGCTGGTGAACAAATAATTTTCTACGTATTTAGTCAAAGAGAAACAAAGAGAAACGTGATAAGCAGAAGTATTGGAATTATCATGCAATCTAGAACTACCAGAAATAACGCAGCTAAGACCATGTAGAACTTGGTGAGAACAAACGAACGTATAGTATTTGGAATACGAAATCGGGCAGTCATCCAGTACAAAGGAATAATAAATACATACGAACACTACAACCGACAGTTCATAAATTGGTATCTAGGTTTCTGTAAACAATTGTATGTCTTCTCCTAAGGCTCATTATAGGCCTGTCAGATTTTGCATTGGATACCAACTCTGTGTAATCTAGAATACATTCATTAGTATTAGAAATAAAAACTGAAATCGGAACGGAATCACCTGAGTTCTGGAATCGTATACAATCACCATGTTGGTTGTGTACTGAGATCTCTGATATCTAGAATTTGAAACACGAATTTCCAGACACCATCCATCACACAAAATAATGTTGGATCTTCACATCCATACTTCTCATATTGATCAGAGGATTCACTAGAAAAGACTTCATTCTAAATATAAAGAACATTTCATAAGAAATCATCCGAACCTTATTCAAAATCGAGCTCATTTAGGACTTATGCTTCGTAATGAACCAGTTTCCTACAAAACAGATGCATTATGAGCTCAACTAATATTTGATAAGAGATCAGAATTTGATTTTTCCGAAATATTTTTCCAAAATGTATCAGGAATATCACTGAAGACTAATGGATCAATATAAAAATCAGCATCTATCAAAAGTGCATCAGGTTTTCTATCAGGACTTGATTCACTCAACATATCTTCCTCAGATTTGTAAGTAATTTCGTCAGAAATATATGAATCTTTAGGACAAACCATATCTAGCACAGTAACATTAGAAATCTGATAAGAAGCCGATTGATTAAAAACTTTGTTCTCACAATGATTCTGAGTTTCATTTGACTCTGGTCTGCTATTTGACTCTATACCGCTTTCCGAAGTCGTGGATAAGGATAAATGGTAATCAGAAACACCCAACTTAATAGAATCACAATTACGAATGTTAGTATTAGTTGCAGCGAAATGAGCGGTAGTATCAGAAACTAACTGAACCTGCCTAATCTCACCGCATTTGAAGCATTTAGAATTACGGAATACACATGAATTACATGGGTGGAACTTGCCACAGAACAATGTTTTACCAAACTTGTGCTTGTTTTCGTAATCTACTTCGCAATTCCTAAATGAATTGTTATCTGCATAACCTCATGTACGCGTTGGATTGAAATGATGTGGTAAATTGGTAAATTTCTTGATGCCCTGACGAATCGTTTTGTGAAGTTCTCCTTTTTT